TATACTTTCCCAATTACAAAATCACTGAAATTCCATCAGTAGTCAGCCTAAAACCCTAACAAACCTTTGCCCAAATCTAGTCCCACTGCACAGGTCAAGATAGAGCTGCCAGTGAACAGATGAAACAGGAAGCCATGATTTGGACAAAGCCAACCATCATAGAGCAGCTAAGGATACAGAAGACAGCAAACTGCCTACCTTAGGGAATAAGAGCCATCTGTGATCCCTCAGTACCTCAAACACACTTCTACCCTAGGACTTACCACAGTGTTTTATTCACTTTTATCTGTTTCTCCTTGCAGAGCTGGAACTTCCCAAATTATGTGCCTTTAATGCATTGCAGGTCAGTTGGAGATACTGATCCCATTAGTACTGGATAGCTAGGCAGGGCTTAGGGTGGCTAGAGCCCTTGGGCCAATCATCTCATGTTACAAGCAGCTACGTCTGTGTCACTGTTACCATTTTCTGTGTATGCCACAATGGGAAAAAGTGTGGGAGTACTTCACTAGACTATGAGCCCCTCGCCAGCAAGAACCATGCCTTATTCATGCTTCATGTCCCCAGCATCCAGTACCATGACAGCTCTGCGGCTAGTCATCGACACTGCTGTTGTTGAGGAGCACAGTTCTACTGATGGTGGCAAAACATTTATGAGGTTGAGGAGGACAGCGTTCTGGAGGCGATCTCTCATCCTTTTCCTGTATCTGACAAACTGGAGAAGTGGCATCCATGTGCTCAGAGCCCTAGGGTTCCTTGACTGGGATTCAGAAGCTGCTTGGGGGAAGGGGAGAACCATATGAGAGGGTCTAATTATGCTCCCCGACTCTCTACCACCATCAGAGAAGCTTCATTTTCATCCATTTTATGTATTAGACTTCAAGCAGGATTTTACGTAAGGTACGGTTTGATTGTTTTAAAAAGAACAGGGGGTAAAAAACACTGAAACAGAAAGCAAATGTTCTCCTGCATCCTAAATCATCTTGAAGTTTAAACATTCATGCTTGACCCTCTGGTACATAAGCTCATAAAGGAAGCGTTATGCCAGGTTCTCACCAGTAATGGGAGAGCTAAAAGGTACCATGACATCTGCCACACTCAGTCATCTCACCTTTTTCCAGGACTATGGTGATAATAGTAGATCCCTGAAATCTCGAGCCATTTCCTTTCTGGTCCACACAGTGCAGCAGATCCTTTGCAGAAGTTCATGACAAAGCTCTAGCATGTTCATGGAATCCCTACCTCAGTTCTTTCCCAGACTACAACACCAAGCCTTCAAAAATGTGTGGAACTCTTTCCACAGAACGCTCTCCATGTCTTTTCATTGTCAAAAAGCTTTATTAGCACCCTACCTATATGTGCAACAGATGTTGGAAAAGGTATAGTAGATAGAATTCACAGATATCACAACTCTGGACCCTAGTACAGTATATTCCGAAACATACTCAGAGGCAGACATTTAAAGGAGATATAACTAAACGAAAAGAGTGGCCCAGGAAATGGAGGATGCTGAAATATTGATTGAGACCAAAATAAGAGGACCCAGGAATCCAGATCCCCAACCTAGGTCAATCAGGGTGCTCCTTTATAGAAGAGGCAACCACTACCTCAGAGTCATGCTGACTTTTTTTAACATGAACACTATTCTTGAGCCCCCACATCCTCACCCTACATCCAAGTTGACGGTTCAGGGCCCCTGCCTTGCACCAGCTTCACCTCCCACTCAGGCAGCAGGAGCCGCCTCTGTGAGGCTGATGCTGAAAAAAGATTTCACTGCTCATAAGCCTACGACCAGCACAGAAAGTCATGGTAACAATCATCCCTCTGCACAGGCGCTTCAGGCGGCAAGTTGTTCTTTTGTAAACCTCCGCTCCTTTAAGGCAGCCCTGAGTACTCATATTATTATTATGATGATGATAATGATTATTAATAGCAGCTAACATTTATTTGGGGCTTACTATGTGCTTTGTACAATACTAAGTGCTTTGCACGTATTATCTCATTTAATTCTCATGCCAACACTACGAAGTAGGTACTTTTTTTTTTTGAGGAAGATTAGCCCTTAGCTAACATCTGCTGCCAGTCCTCCTCTTTTTGCCAAGGAAGACTGGCCCTGAGCTAACATTCGTACCCATCCTCCTCTACTTTATATGTGGGACGTTTGCCACAGCATGACTTGACAAACAGTACATAGGTCCACGCCCGGGATCCGAACCACCAAACCCCAGGCTGCCGAAGCAGAACGTGCAAACTTAACCACTGCGCCACCAGGCTGACCCCTATGTACTATTATCATCACACTTTTTACAGATGAGGAAAATGAAGCTAAGAGAGGACAAGTAATGTCACTAAAATCATACAACTAGTCATTAGCAAAGGCAGAATTTGAACCCAATTTTGTCTGATTCCAAGGTCCACACTCTTAATTACTAAACCATTTTGCCTCTAAATTCACCTGCAACAAAAATGAAGAGAGCCAAACACAGTGACATGCTTTGAGTCCTGGGCCTCTGGGCATCCATTTCTAAGGGTATATGGGAAGCAAATTCCACAACGTCCCTCAGTTATTTACTCAGCTTTAACAAACCTGGTCTTACAGAAGTTCCTCCTTCTAACCAACAAGTCCCACCCACTGTCCTCTGAGTCCATTTCCTCTTATTAGGACTCCAGTGGAAAAGAGAGTGGCAGAGATGAACAAACACAAAATGACCCTTCCTGCACTTAAGACTCCACTTCCACTCTTTCCAGCCTGCTCTCTGCTGTCCTTTATACTTGCATTTAGTTTAATAAGAGCAGCCGCCATTCATCGGCACCACTTCTGTGCCAGGCACCATATACAAACAGTGGCTCCCTCCTCCATAACCTCCAGGATCCCAATTTGCAGACAACACTTTGAAGGACTTAGGTCTAATGGAGAGACTTCTTTGCCCACAGTGGGAAAGCAGGAGATCGGGGATGTCAGATAAATAATGACTCTGTTCTAGTAATTCTCTCTGGGTCTTGGTTTCCATCATCCAGGCCTTGTTTTGTGCCTCTCAGGAAAGTGGACAGACCAAGACTTCTGAATTACAAAGGCCCTTAGCCTTTGTACCCTCACTTAGCTATCTCCAGGCACTGTCCCTGACAGCCAACCTTTCTCTTTCTCTTAAGCTTTAGTCAGAAAGCTTGTTGAGTTCTATCCATTCACACCGTGTATTCATCACAAGCGCCTACTGTGTGCATGGGCATTATGGGAGACAAGAGATGAGATCCAATTCCTACACTCAAAAAGCTTCATCTCTTTGGAAGAGCAAGACACGTGCATAAAAATTTTGACTATGCGAGGTAATAATTCTATGCTGGGAGGCAGGACGCAAGTGAATACAGTCATGTGCCACCTAACATTTTGATCAATGATGGACATTTATGACAATGATCCCATAAGATTAGTAACATATAGCCTAGCTGGGTAGTAGGCTATATCATCTGGGTTTGTGTGAGTACACTCTATGATGTTTGCACAATGACAAAATTGCCTAACCAAGCATTTCTCAGAACATTAAGCCACGCATGACTGTATGTGATACATGGGGGCCCTTCCCAGCCAAATCCAAGGTCAGTGATTCATTCTACGAAAAAAAATGAACTCAATAGATCAGCTTCTTTCTTAAGCTTTTACAGACATGTTATTTAAACTCGGGTCTAATGTGCAATGACCAATTCACTGCCTCACTGCAGTCATAGCAAGTGGAGACACTTACCCCAACAACAAACTCAAGACAAAATGGCAGCAAAGATTGTCACCACCTGACTAGGGACAGGGAAGGAAATAAGTAAAGACTGGATTCTGTCTTCTTGTATTGACTCAAGCAATCAGACTCCTGCAGCAGATCTTGCACCAATAAAACTTTCATGCCCTAGACCAGGGGCGACTCAATCCAACAGCAGCAGAGACAGGCTTTAAGTTACACTTCTCCCTCACCCGGATGACCTCACTATTTCTTCTCACTCCCAACCACATACCACACTCCTCCAGGCCTGGCCAAAGGGAGGCCGGCAGTAATACAACCCAGAAGGAAGGGAACTCCCCAAAGAGAGGAGCTACCACTTTGCTAATCAAGTGACCCGTTTTAACAAGGAACTCCACCTCCCCCTCCTTCCCTCAAACAGTGGTGTAAGCAATGGCTCCATTTTCTGTTCCGGGAATCCTGGTACTTCCTAAAGAAAGAAAGCGGATTGGAAGACACAAACTCAGAGCCAGCGGCAAGATGCTCCCTCCTCCTGTAAGACCGCCCCCGCCTAGCCTGGGGGAGGAAGGCACCACCTCTCTTCTCCAAGCAAGATCAGATCCCCTCCCCCGCCTCCTGCCTCCTCTCCTGCCGCTCCCCACCTGCTGCCCTTTTCCCAACGTGCGGCTCCTAAGACCCGAAAGCACAACCTCCACCAGAATACTGCCCTTGGGGTGCCCCACTAGCCTCCCCTGTCCTCTAATCCCTAAACCCCCTACGCACCCCTACCCCACGAGGGGGGAGGAGGTGTCACCACAGCAAGGCTTCTCTCTGGTCTCCTATTACTAACGTGGAAACAGAGAGGGGGTAGGAAAAAGCGGCATTTTCTAGCCCTTTAACTGGAAAAGGATACAAAACAGCCATCGCCGCCCCCGCATCACCTCTCCCTGGACTGCTTTCTTCCCCTTCAACCCCGACCCCTCAAAAGCCCACCTCCTGCAGGCGAGGGGAACCTAACTGCAGTCCAGGTCGCCCCCTTGCGCGAGGCGGAGGACAAATCCGTGTGTGCCCCTCACCCCCACCCCCACCCCCACCCCCACCCCAGCTCCGCGTCCTTCAAATGCGGGGGCAGGGGTGAGGCTGGCCCCGCGCCCCCTCTCGGAGCTCTTGGGTGGGAAGGACCACACCGCCCCATGCCGGGCAGTGCCGGGCGTTGTAGGGGGGGGCTCTATCTCCTCAGCCCCCACCCTGAGCCTCTCCTCTACTGGGACCCGCCTTCCTTCCCCAGCCCCTCACCTGTTCCTGCTCCCGACTCCGCCGCTGCGGCCGCCGCCTCCGTTACCGCAGGTTCCGCTCGGCTCTAGCTCCGCTCCCTCCGGCTCTCCCAGCCGATTTCGGCGCGGCTGCTCCCCCGGCCCCGCTCCCCGGCTCCCTCCTTCCTTCCCTCCACCTAGCACCGGAAGCCGCGACAGCGACAGGAGCTGTGCGGCTCACCCCCACCCGCAGACCGGGATACTTCCCACCTCCCCGATCGCGCGAGAGCTGCGCTCAGCGAGCAGCGGTTCTCGCGAGATCCATCACCATGGCAGCGGCTGCAGCAGAAGCCGCGCGGTGTTGGAGCTGAAGTCCGGGCGGGGGCCGATGTGGGGGCTGGAGGCTGCGGGCGGCGGAGGCGGGAGCCGGGGAATGAGCATGAGACAGTGGGGACTGAGGTGAGAATCCCAAGCTCCAGGGCCATGCCTGGAATTTAAGGAGTGGGGCTGCATGCTGGCCACACTGGAGACTGGGGTTGGGCTGAGAGGCCCGGGGACTCTTTGAGCAAAGCCGGGAGCCGGGTATAGTGAACAGTCCTTTCTGTGGCCCGCCTTACTCCTCCAGACCTCATCTTTGTTTCTTAACCAGGGCTGGCTGCATCCCCCTGAGAGCCATCGCTACACCAGTGTTGCTGCTCACTACTCCTAACCTAAAACTAGGTTACTCAGGAGTCTGAACCGAGAGATCCTTTCCCGTAAGGAAGAGGAGAGAGGTGAATTTGAGAGACTGAAGGAAACAACTGGACTGTAGGCCTGTTAGGAAGTTGGAACGTGAAAAACAAATGGTTGGAACCTAATATTCAGAGGTGTGGTTTGAGAAAGTGTTCCTAGATGATTATGAATTTTAGTATCCCAAGGAAAGTGAGAGACTTTGCACCCACGTTTCTCTATTCCTACCCTCCCCAACTTCCCTCACACTCATTTCTGCACCTGATCTAGACATGCAAAGCTGCCTTGGAACAGTCATGGCTGTGATAGAAGGGCACTAGTAATGCTAAGAACAGAAGAAGGTTCTTTTTTATTTTATTTTTTTAAAGATTTTATTTTTCCTTTTTCTCCCCAAAGCCCCCCGGTTCATAGTTGTATATTTTTAGTTGTGGATCCTTCTAGTTCTGGCATGTGGGACGCCACCTCAACATGGCTTGATGAATGGTGCCATGTCTGCACCCAGGATGCGAACTGGCGAAACCCTGGGCCCCCGAAGCAGAGCCCGCAAACTTAACCACTTGGCCACAGGGCCTGCCCCCAGAAGAAGGTTCTTTAAGTGCCCTCTCTCCTCATTTACAGTAGTATAAGGGAACATATGGCTCTTCCCTAAGATGTAAGCCAAAATTGTTGCTTTTCTGGATTTTTTGCCTTGTTTCTTGTCTCCTTCCGAGAAGAACTATGCTGGTAGATGGCCACGCTATGTCTACCCCTTGTCCCTATCAATCCCTGGTGTATGTATTCACCAGTCTCTTCTTCTTATCCCAGTCTGTTTTCTCTCTTATTTTAACCTGGAGAATAACATGACCCTAGAATGTGAAACCAAGAGGACCCTAATTTAAGATGGTGAAGGATAAGATGGATAATAAGGAACATGTTTATAACAAACTGAGTTGTATCTGTCCTTGGCCATTGCCATTAAGGGCCTTTGCCCTGCTAAACTCAGTATGTTAAATGGCAGAAGACTTCTTCACTGTTATTACAGACTCCTAGAGTGGGCCCTGTGATACCTCACATGATTACTTTACTCTTTCCATTTCTTTCCTAGGAATTTTCTAGGAATACCCCACCAGTTTATGCCTCCATGCTAACCCCCAAAATTATGCTTTACAGCCCCCTTCCCTAAAGGGGAATGCCCCGTCCACACCAGCATGCCTCGTGGGACTCTAACAGGAGGCGGAAACTGTCCGTGTTCCTGCCCAAGACTTCATATCCTCTCGAGGTTGGATCCCAGTTGTGACAGAAGGACAGATGTGGTGACAGCCTAATATGGTTAGCAGCAAGTACCATGGCATTTGAGTCAGCATTGACGAATGGGACTGCAGAATCTCCCAGCCCTTCTGTCCTTGACCCCTCTGGAGTCTGGAGAGGAAAGTATCGATTGCAGCATCACTGGGTGCTTCCCATGGAGCCAGCAGGAGCACAGATAAGAAGGGTCCTGCCCACTGGCAAGTAGCCAGCCACTGCCACTCCCCAGCTTCCCAGCCACTTGAAAGGCTAAGGGAGAAGTGCTCATCCAGAGTTGAAGGAGGCCAAAAGGACTTACAGTTCATCAGCCTTTCCCCCTTCCTCTGGCAGCCACTGGAGCTAAGCGAAAGCTGAAATTGTAGCTACCCGCTCTGTGGGTTGCACACTCCCACTCCTGTCACTGACCCCAGGCCTGGGCCTGAGCCCAGCGCGTGTGCCGAGAGCAGGGGTGGGGAGGGGGGTGTTGGCCTTGCTGACAAAATCCATTTGGAATTTCTGAAGGTTGTGGTTTGGGGCTTAAGTTTGCCACAGAGCGTGTCTGATGAAAGAAGAGAGAAAGCTAGAAAGAGAGAGGGAGCCAAAGAGAGTACAGAGGAAGGAAACAGGAAAAAGCTGAAATATTCTTGCTGTGACTCCATTGCAGATTCTCCTCCCTCTTCCTGAGTGTGAGAAATTCCCATTCTGGATATTCCTTATCATAATTCTGTCTCATATCCTATGTCCATTCTAGCTGCATGCCCTCTCTCCTCCATTCCCCATACATACACTAGGCTCAGTCAGTGCCTGAAGGTATCTCCCTGGCTCCATCCAATTTCCAAACACAGAATTCTCAACGCTTAAGTGGAAATTCAGTACATAAAACTTTGCCATAAAATAATACCCTAACTCAACACACTCCTCAAAATGCCCTTGCTACCATGGTGCTACCTTCATTTCACCTGATTTTGGGGGTAATTTGGGTTGCAGATATATCTATTGCCTAGAGGAGTGGAGAGAACTCTTCTACATTCCCTGGGCAAGGAGATGACCTGCTAGAATCAGCATCTTGCAACCCCATAAGTATTCAGTTATTTGTAAAGTTCTAAATGTGGGATGCATATCCCTTTTCCAAATTGAAAGATAACGGTTTGTTTTCAAAGATTTTGAGCTAGGAATAGAAAGATTGGAATAAAAGAAATTCTACTTTCTCTAGTTATGGGTATCTCCTAAAAGATAACAGAATTACTTTACTAAGATTAAATGCAGAAGAGCTCTGAATAAGAAAGGACAAAATATATATGCAAATAATTCAGTGGTATAGCATGCTGGTTTTGCTGCTTTCCAGAGCAAAAAACTCCAATTTTTTTGTTTTTGTTTTTGTTTTTTTTGGAGGAAGATTAGCCCTCAGCTAACTACTGCCAGTCCTCCTCTTTTTGCTGAGGAAGCCTGGCTCTGAGCTAACATCCGTGCCCATCTTCCTCTAGTTTATACGTGGGACGCCTACCACAGCATGGCTGCCAAACAGTGCCATGTCCGCACCCGGGATCCGAACCAGCGAACCCCCGGCCGCCGAGAAGCGGAACGTGCGAACTTAACCGCTGCGCCACCGGGCCGGCCCCCAAAAAACTCCAATTTTGAGCATAGAATTCCCTTTTATATGTTTCCCATTAGTCTAGTGTCTACCTCCCAAGTTTTCTGGTTTGAAGCCAGAGAGAAAAGTACCAGTTCTTTTGGGTCCAACTTCGATGTTGAGATAATTTTAGGACTTGAAAACCCCAGAACAGAGGTGACCTCATGATGTAGGGCAGGAGTCAACAAACTACAGCCAGAGGACCAAATCTGATCCTGCAGTCTGTTTTTGTGAATTAAGTTGTATTGGACACAGCCACGCCCATTCATTTATGTATGTTCTACGACTACTTTTGATGTACAAGAGCAGAGTTGAGTAATTATGGCAGAGTTGAGTAGTTGCGACAAAGCCCTCAAACCTAATATATTCACTATCAAGCCATTTACAGGAAAATAAAAAAATGCTGACCCTTGTTCTAGGGCAGTGACCCAGGCAAAATCTGGAGTTGAGGCACATAGAGAGTAAATGGGGCCTGTGTCTGGATCTCTAGCCCTTCTCACCCAGAAGTCTCCCCTGGTTTTTTGCATTAAAAGTTGCCAACTAAGTCACTGAGGACCATTTCAAATCCTTTGGGGAACCAGGCGGGATATACATAAATAAAGTCATTGAGTGTAGGAGGGTAGGAGAATTCACCTGGAAAAGAAGCCATAGACTGGGATCCCAAGTGTGGGCAGAAATATCACCATCTGCATCCACTGGTCCAGTAGCTTAATTTATTTAGTTACAAACAGGAACCAAGAACAAGTCTCAGTACAATAAATTATCCATTCGCACCCCTCCTGCCGAGGAAAGAAAAAGAGGCTCAGAGAGTCTTAGGGAAAACTCTTCCTTTGGAGGGTCCCCTTTAACATCTGAATTAGTGGCAACATCTTCCCTAAGGGCCTGGACAGATGACTCTTTGGGGACTCAGGGGAGAGCACCCCCCCCCCAGCACTGTGCCTTCCCCAAGAAAAACCTCTCTACCACTGTCTCCCATTACCCCACAAGGTGGTGCCCAGGCTGCAGCAGAGGGAGTATGGAAATAGCCATGGAGTGAGTGGCCTCTTTCTAGATACAGGTCTTATGGCTCCACACAATGTCTGGAGCTATGCCTCAAAGGAGAGGAGTGGTCAAACTCTAGGGACTCCTCAGCCAAAAGGAGTATGAATCAGAGTTAAAGGGACCCCAGGGTTGGGGAGAGGGGGACAACACAGTGCATTTCATCTTAGCCCATTCAGGTGTTTAAGGAGCAGAAGAGGGAAGACAGCTTCCCTCCAAGGTCCTCCTACTTTGGGGGTGAAGGCGGCACATCACAGACTCCACCTGACCCCCACCACCCCCAAAGCTGTTTCCAGGTAGATACTTTGAGCTTCCGGGGGCCAAGATTGACCCTGGACAGAAATCAGAGCAAAAGGCTGAAAAGGTGCCCCTCCCCTTCCCCAGCTGACCCTCACTTACACACGTTGACCCACTCTGTGACTTTGCACTCATCACACAGCACGTAGCAGCACCAGTGGAAGCGGCAATGACAGCGCTCAACTCGTGTCTGCCGGAGCACATTGTGCCCTCGGCCACAGCACAGGCTGCCACAGCCATCCAGCAGGCGGCTGGTCTTGTTGCAGGCCCGGCCCCGTGTGCCTGGGGAGCCCACAGTGGGGTCTCGCTCACAGAAGTCAGGAGACTTCTCAAAGTAGACCAGCTCTCCTGAGAGGCGACGGGGACGCAGGCGAGGTTGGAAGGCTCCAGAGTTGCGGTTGTGGGTATCGATGAAGATGGCCCGGCCCAGCCGCTCTCTCAACGCTGCCCCCACTGCCCGGAACTCTGGGGCGGCCCTCCAACATGTCTTGAACTGGCAGCTGCCTGACGTGCCATGGCACTTGCATTTCCGCTTCAGGTTTTCAGTTACCACCTAGAGCATCAGAGTGAGGAGGAGGTGAAGGCGAGGGCAGCAAATGGACAGAGCACAGAGGCACAGGAGTGGGGAGGGAACAGAGAGTACAGGGAGGGACAAAGAGAGGCAAGAATAACTACAAATATCAGAAGAGAGAGGGAGCTTCAAGACTGGCTAATAGCCCAGCTTCCTCATTTTATGGTGGGAGAACTGAAGACAGAGCAGAGTGATTTGCCCATCTTCAATCACTAGGTGGTAACAGAGACCCAACTCCAGTTGTCCTCACTCTCTCTCCAGTGCTCTTTCCAGGGTGAGCACTGCTAAAATGGGGAGTCTGACCTGGAGCACCCCTCAATTCTGTAGAGAAGGCAGCTATAATAATAGCAACCATGTAAAGAGCACCTGCCAAGGATGAAGCATTATGCTGGTGCTCTATTTGCTAGCTCACTCTTAATGACACTGTAAGGTAGGTATCATTAGACTCTTTGCAGATGTAAAAAACTTGTGATTAAGTGACTTGCTTAAGGCCATCCAGATGGTGAGTGACAATCACCCACCACATCTCATCCTCTTACTCTGCTGTGCCTCTCAAACTCTAGCCAGGCCTTGAAAGGTAGGGAGACCCAGGACAAGTTGCACACACGTACCTGGCGCCCCACCCTGTTGTTGTGGATTCTCATTCGTGCCTGGATATCCCGGGGAGCTTCCCTGGAATCCAAGAAATCCCGAGAGAACTTCTCTCCAAAGTCCATGTCATGGTTACAGCCACCCCATTCCCATGTGTCCTGGGGGCCAGGGCTGGGGCCTGAGCCAGGGCCTGGGCTGGGCAGGGAGTGGGGGAAACTCTTGCCCCGGGAAAGTGCCTGCAGCTGAAGCAGCTTGGCCCTCAGCCGGTCCTGCTCACCACTGCCCTTCCAGTCGCAGCCACAGCTCACCAGCTTGCCCAGGCTGCAGGCCGTGGCTACTGCATGCATGACCCCAGCAGCCAGCATGGAGAAGGAAAAAGCACTCTCACGGAAACCTGGGGATGAAAAGGGTGTGATGGTAGGGGTAAGGCTGACAGGCAGCTGAAAGTAGGGAGGCAGAAGGAAATAAACAGCCACCCTCCAACTGCAGAAATTCCTCACTGAATCCATTGACCAGCTGAGTAATTTGGGAGCAAGTCACTGGAGAAGGAAGGGAACTGAAAGCACAGAGCCTCAGTTTCCTCATCTATAAAAGAAGATGGCTTGAGATGATCTCTGAGGCCCCTTCCAGCTCTGTAAGTCTGGGATTTCGGGTGCAGATGAAAGAGCTAGCCTCGAGGGAAAGTCCCCTGGGGTTGGGAGATGACTAAGAGGGAGTCCCCAAGGTCTTTGAAGATGTATTCACTGAGTTCTACATCTGAAGCCCTTAGAAATTCCCCAGCCCTGCAGGGAGCTTGGGTGGGGTGGAAGCAGAGGACTTTGGGGTTCTTTTTTTTTTAACCAACCTACCCTCCACCGCTCCAACACCTCCAAAGCACTGGAGCTGTGCAGCTGTCCTTCCCCTTTCCAGTTTCTAGTTTTATATTTGCCCTTTAAGACTGCCCCTTATGTTTATCCTAACCTGCTATTACTCTATAAAACACTGGGAGGGGAAGGGAGGTGGGGGTGATTTTCCCCAAGGCCCTCTTAAAATGTTGGCTTCTTTGTTAGGTTTTGGGGGTCACAGAGGCTCAGGATGACAAGCCTTTCCCAGACTTAGATAGACATGCTTCTCATTTGGGTATCAAAGCCTTCCCTACACCAGCCCCTGTGGAGAAGGAGGGTGTCCCTCACTTCCTTTTAGGCAGGGGCTCTCTGGATCCCTGAGAGGATGAGAGACAGCACCTCCTTAGGGGCCAGGCCTCTCCCACCCCAGGATGCAGGGCTCCTGGCCCAGCCTCCTGATCCCCCCAACCCCAACCCTCCAGGGGTAAAGCTGTTTGCACACGTCTTGGGAATTCCCCCGCAGATGGCAGCTGCCTATTAACCCCATAGTCCCCGAAGTACTGCTCCCACACTTGAGCTGAGTCCTGGATGGGGTGCATGTTTACTCCTCCAGGGAGTAAACTTGGGCATGGCCTGGCAAGAGGCAGCAATGCCTCCTAGACCTGGCCTGCAGTGACCCGTTCTCCACCCCTCCAGCCAGTCTTCACCTGCTCAGGTGAGAGCCACCTGGGGCCCTCACAGCGCAGAGGAGGGGGCTGCTCCCCGGCTTCAAAGCCAGCAGGGTCTTTGTTCCCAGCTTCGGCTCCTGGGAACCCCAGCAATTAGGGGAGTAGGTTTAACCCTTAAACGGTTGGGGGAGTCACCCCACCCCCGCTATGGCTCTGGGGACACCAGCCTGGGCTTGTCCCACAGAGAGGGAAGGGGAAAATTGGGAGGAGGAAATGGGGGGGGGGGGCGCGTTTGAAGCTTTCAGGGCTGGGGGCATCTCTTGCTCACAGGTGCAATCCAGATTGAGCTGGGCAGAGACAGCAAAAGGGGGCCCTAGGGTAGGGGAGCAGGGACCCAGCTGCCTTGCCGGCAGCGCACAGGTGGAAGTCAGAAGCGCAGGGGCCCAGACGGGTGGCCAGACCCAGCTCCGCGCGGCTCCCGGGGAAAATTCCCCGAGAGGCCCCTCCCCAAGTCGTGAACCCGTCCCCCCCCCACCACCTCCGCTCTCCTCGGCCTGCCTCCCACCCCCCAGCCTGGCGGCGGCTCAGACCCGCCCGGCCCGGCTCACCGCGCTTGAGGATGGCGCTGTGGTGCGGCAGGCGGCCGCCGCCCTCGAGCGCCGAGCAGTTCCAGCGCTGGTCGCGCAGCTGGTG